GCCTGGTGTTAACCAAGGTCAGTCTCATAATTCTCTTGGTCCTCAAGCTATAGTTAAGAAAGAAATCAAGTGTTGGGATTGCAAACAAGTAGGTCATAAGAAAGCTGGTTGTCCTCTGAAAAGGAAATCAGGTAATCTTTTGGCTTTTGTCTGCTTTGAAACTAGTCTTGTTCATGTTCCTTTAAATTCCTGGTGGTTGGATAGTGGTGCAACTGTTCATGTAACCAATGACTTGCAGGACCTAGTAAGCAGACGGAAGCCAAAAGAGGATGAAGCCAGTGTTGTTGTGGGCAATGGACTCAAAGCAAAAGTAGAGTTTATAGGGATATCTATTTTACCTTTTAAGAATAATTCTAGTATTCGTTTAGAAAATACTATTTTTGTACCGTCTATGAGATGGAAATTAGTTTCGGTTTCCCTTTTGGACAAAGCTGGTTATTCATTTCAACAAAATAATGATATTATTAAAATTTTCTATGATTCACATGTTGTAGCTGATTCCTTTTTAAGTGATGGTCTATATCGCTTGAATGTATTGAATGAAACTTTTTCTGCAATGCATGTTGAAAATATTGCCCATAAAAGATTTGCTATGAGTAAAACGTCTTACCTATTATGGCATAGGCGTCTTGGTTATATTTCTAAAGAAAGAATTGAACGATTGATAAAGGAAAATATTTTACCTGTTCTATATCCAAAAGATTTTGAAACTTGTGTGGATTGTGTTAAGGGTAAAATGACCAAGGTTAAGAAAAAGAGTTCCACTAGGAGCTCTGAACTCTTAGAAATAATTCATACTGATATCAGTGGACCTTATGTACTTACTTTGACCTATCATAAGTATTTTATTACTTTTATTGATGACTTTTCAAGGTACAGTTATATATATCTTTTAAGAGAAAAATCTGAAGCACTTGATAAGTTTAAAATTTACAAGACTGAAGTTGAAAAACAGCTTGGGAAGTCCATTAAGATAGTGAGGTCTGACGTGGTGGTGAGTACTATGGAAAATATGATGAGTCTGGTCAATGTATGGGGCCTTTCGCTTTATTTTTGCAAGAATGTGGGATAGTAGCACAATATATCATGCCAGGTACTCCTGAGCAGAATGGTGTGGCTGAAAGACGAAATTGTACCCTCATGAAAATGGTGAGAAGTATGATGTCAAGGACTAGCCTACCTGAGTCTCTTTGGGGTGAAGCCTTAAAAACAGCTAGTTATATCTTGAATAGAGTTCCTACAAATCTGTCTTGAAAACTCCCTTTGAACTATGGACAACCCGAAAATCTAGCTTGAACCATTTTCACATTTGGGGATGTCCAGCTGAAGTTCGTATTTATTCACTCACAGAAAAGAAAAATGATCCTAAAACTACCACTTGTTTCTTTATAGGCTATCCTGATCACTCTAAAGGTTTTAGGTTTTTCTGTCCTGGGCGTGGCACTAGAATCGTTGAGTCTATTAGTGCGAAATTTCTTGAGCATGATGTTTGTGATTGTGATTGTTCATGTGGTAAGGAAATTGTATTAAAAGAGAAGGAAGTCATTGTCCCTATACCTGTTATACATGAAAAGGTGGTAAACCAACCTATTCATGAGGGGGAGAATCAAGGGAACAACAACGTAAATCCCATAGTTCCTGAACAAAAGGTACACAATGAACCACTCCGTAGGTCACAAAGAGAAAGAAGGTCTGCCATCTCTAATGATTTTATCGTGTATGTGACCGAAAATCTTAGTGATACTGGAGTGCTGACTGATCCTTTATCATATGCTCAAGCTATTTCCTCTCCATTTGTTGATAAATGGCGTGAGACAATGAAAGATAAAATGCGCTCCATAGAACACAATGGAGTGTGGGAGTTAGTTGAATTGCCTGTAGGTTTTAGGCCTATTGGTTGCAAATGGGTGTATAAAACTAAAAGAGACTCTAAGGGAAACATAGACCGTTATAAAGCAAGGTTGGTTGCTAAGGGTTACACCTCAGAAAGAAGGTATTGATTATAAAGAAACAACCAGTTTCATCCAAAGATGCATTTAGAATTATGATGGCTCTTGTGGCTCATTTTAATTTAGAATTGCACCAAATGGATGTTAAAAACTGCTTTCCTAAATGGGAGTCTACTTGAAGAAGTTTGCATGGTTCAACCTGAAGGGTTTAAAGAAGCTAGTAAAGAACATCTAGTGTGCAAGCTTAACAAATTCATATATGGGCTTAAACAAGCCTCCAGGCAGTGGTACTTGAAATTTGATGAAATTATTACAAAATTTAGATTTATGGAAAATAAGCTTGATGAATGTGTTTATCTCAAAATAGCTAATGGCTATTTTATTATTATGGTTCTCTATGTTGATGACATTTTGCTTGCCACAAATAATTTGGGCGTGATGAATGAGACCAAACAATTTTTGTCTAGGTCTTTTGATATGAAAAATCTTGGTGAAGCCTCTTTTGTTCTTGGGATAGAAATTAAAAGAGATAGGTCACGTGGTTTATTGGGTTTATCACAACGTTCCTACATTGAGAGTGTTCTTAAAACTTTCAATATGCGAGACTGTAGACCTGGTATTGCACCTGTTGTAAAAGGAGACAAACTTAGCAAGGATCAATGTCCGAAAAATGAAGTTGAAATGAGAACTATGAAAGATGTGCCATATGCAAGTGTTGTTGGTTGTTTGATGTACATACAGGTTTGTACAAGGCCTGATATTGCATTTGCTGTTAACATGTTGGGAAGATTTTCTTCTAATCCTGGGTGGGCACATTGGGTGGCTGCAAAGAAAGTGATGAGATATCTATAACGCACCAAAGACTTCATGCTTGTATACAAAAAGGTTGATGATCTGGATCTTCTAGTATATTCAGATTCTGATTTTGCAGGTTGTCAAGACACTATGAAATTAACTTCTGGGTATATTTTTATGTTGGGTGAAGGTGGTATTTCTTGAAAAAGTGAGAAGTAAAGTAATCTACAATGGAAGCTGAGTTTATTGCTTGTTTTGAGACTGCTTCACATGCTGTCTGGATGAAGAATTTTCTTACTAAATTACAAATTGCAGATTTTATATCTAAGCCGGTGACTATTTTTTGTGACAACAGTGCAGCTGTTTTCTTCTCTAAGAATAACAAAAGAACAAGAGGCTCTAAGCATGTTAGCCTTAAGTTTCTTAAGGTTAGAGACATGGTAAAAGAAGGTGATATATGTATTGAGCATATTAGCACAGAATCTATGTTGGCAGATCCTTTGACTAAAGGTCTTAGGCCTGTAGTGTTTAATGAACATGCTATAAATATGGATATTTTAGAGTCTTTTGATGTGCTTTAGTCAGTGGGAGTTACTTTGTAATTGCTGACTGAGATATTGCTTTAATAAATTCTATTTTTATGCAAGCTTGTGTTATTTGATATCTGTTATGCTTATGACTAACATGATAATTTATTTATTTTTATTTCCAATTGGACATTGCATAAACTCATGATATCTTTGAGTTTTGTTGCTTGTTGCCTTGATTATCCCGAGTAAGGCACAAGGAAATCCTCCTGAGGTGATATGATTTTGTGTCACTTGGAGGCTCTTGAGGTGATATGGTTATTATATTACTTGGGGGATTATTTCTTTCTAAGAGGTGTGAATCTATTCAGCTTGATTAGAAAGATAAAATGCTTAGCGCACATGTTTGATCCATGTTGATGGAAATTCTAGCATATGTGGTCGTAGATAGAATTCATACCTTAAAATGGTGTGATGCCTGCTACGATTCATTGTTAGTCTTTTCTATTGAGACTGAATGGATTGTTATATGGGTCATTCTATCCTTGGCTATGTGAGTAGTGTGGCCACCGTAGAGTCTAAAATCCTTTTTCAAAATGATCTTCTTAAAAACTCAAATATTTAAAATTATTTTCTTGTCCTCAATTAACGTTGGCGTCCAAGTGGGAGAATGTTGGAATTTGGACTTACGTTAATTGGTTATAGCCCGAAAGGATAGTGACGTGGCCCAAGTGGTGGATAAATAAAAGGCCTAATATTAAATATTATGTGTGTGGATAAGTGAGGCCCAATAACTATTGGCCTGTGATGGGTAGGCACTCTTTATAAATAGAGGCCAACCCCCCTTTCCCTAGCTATTAGAAAACCCTAGCGTATTCTGCCTCTTGAATACGTGGTAACGGTAGACGTCCCATCAGCCAAGTTCTCCGAGCTGTGAGAGCGCATAGCTAGTGGATTGTGGAAGTTGGTCTCAGGCTTAATTGCCGTTTGCTGTCGCTGCTGAATTCATGGAGTTTAACGGTACGCTTCCTTAGACTCTAACTCTAGATTGATTGTGTAATTGTGTCTTAATCTCTGCTATGACTACGAATTAATTATTTTACATTTTAAAGTAATAAAGGTCACACCTTTGAGGACCTCAAAGTAGACATCAAGATGCTCAGCCATGTATTTCATTATAAAGGTTATTGCAGCATTAACGGTGCTATAGCCACCGTTAAGTAAGCCAACTATATAGCTAGCGATATCAGATTCGTTCAGAAATTGTTCTTTTGTTCATTTGTGGCCTAGAGCATCTTATATGTGTTTGTTCAAATTTTCTTACCATAATTGGTTTTTCTATCTCATAAAGGACAACATATTTACCATAATTGGATTTTTTCTTTTCCTAGAAGGAAAATATAATTCTTCCATATTTCGCTAGTCCATTTTCTTGAAGGAAAAGGTCTGGGTTTCTATAAATAAATAGAGGATCCTTCCTTCTCATTCAGTAACATCCACAATGTAGCCATATGGGGTTTGAGAGCCGTGTTTAGAAGGAGAATTTTACGGGACAAGTGTTAGTGTGTCACTTGTGTTTGCCTCTTCGTGAGGTTGCTCTCTCGATATTTTTATTATAGTGGATTGCTCATCTCCGCCATGGATGTAGGTCAGTTGACCGAACCACGTTAAATGTTTGTGTCTCTTTTGGTATATTTTTAGTCATTCAAGGTTTGCGATTTTTTCGGTCCTAACACATCCGAGACAAAATGTCATCTGGTACTGCAATACTATTCTCTGATAGCTCACTTTTCCTCTGATTGATGATTTCTTGAACCTCCTTACGCATTTCCTTGGATGCTCGGACAGCTTGTTTGAAAGTGGTTCCTTGTAAATTGATAGGCATAGAGAGCACACCAGAGGCAATATCCTCAATATGCTTAGACAGTCGTTCAACCTTCTCTGCATCATCAATGCTTAGGAATAATTTGCAGGCCAATGAGAATATGTACTTCCTTACTGCAGGTAAAACCTTAATTTGTGGGTGATTCCAGTCCGTCTGAAGATGGCGTCTCAAAATATCATCGGCTATGCCTACAAATCTTTGAAGAGACTCTGATCTGAGAGGCGCTGATAGCAATTTGCGTGTGCTTGCAAAGTCTTAGTGATTAGCTTTCTTATGAGTCTTGGCAAATATTCATTCAATAGAACTCGGCCACCAGACTCGGACTAGCTTATTCTCATTTGAAAATAGAAACTTGTTGCCTTCAATACCAGATAAGATCACCATTGGATGCCCAATCAATGAAGTGCTAAAAATCTTAGAAGAGTATTTGCTCCTTCTTTGTGTTAGAAACTTGACTAGGCTCCCATTTTTGACATTGGACAAATAATCCAACGTTTCACCTACAAAAGGCCATCCAAAACTTCCTGGAGGAAGATCATTAGCATCATCTCGTCTTGAATGTGGCTGCTTTCTTTTGTGAATGAAATAGTAATATAGAAAAAAAGAAAAGAGAAGGCTGTTACCAAGAAGGAAAACTATAAAGAGGAACCCCATTGAATAACACATAGGGGTAGCCAGAGGTATGTCAAAGGATGTATTTTAAGCTTTCAGATGGAAGAAGGAACTGATTAAAAATTGCTTAACTAGAGAGGCACTGTAACATGACAACTAGATTCCACGTTGGAGCAAGGGCTTCTTGAAGTTTATATAATTTAAGTTTACTTTGATTTAAGTTTACTTTGAAATATGAAGAGTTGACTCTTTATGATCCTACAGTAATAGTCTGTTTGGCCAAGCTTCTTTTAGGCCAAAAGCACTTTTTTTTTAAAAAAATTGAGGTGTTTGGCCAAGCTTTTGGAAGGAAAAAAAGTGCTTTTGAGGAGAAGCAGAAGCAGAAAAAGTAGCTTCTCTCCAGAAGCACTTTTGAGAAAAATATACTTAGAAGCAGTTTTTTAAAGCTTGGCCAAACACTAATTGCTGCTCAGAAGTGCTTTTCAAACTAATTAGCCAAATACAAACTGCTTCTCACAAAAAAAAACACTTCTCAAAATAAATTAATTTTTGCATTTTGGCCAAACGGGCTATAAGCACGCCATGTTACTACGGGTTCTGGATTCTAAAACAAAATAGTTAGTGGGCCGAATAAATTATTTATACGTGGAGTTTTTAACACAAAATACAAGTGTAATGACAATTCTTTATTAAAGAAATGATGTAAATCAACAAGGAACACAAGCATAAGAGCTCCAAGCTTCAAGCTGCACATGCACAATTTTCATTACTTAGGCTTTATCCAGAAAACATGCTATTTATAAGCAAACCAATAAACGATGTAAGAGAAAACTTGACGTCGAGAGGAATATGAGTTGTGACTAAGGATCTTTTTAAATCATGACTAAATTTGCAAATTTTATCATCAACACACACTTGATCTACAAAATCATCTCTACGATCACAAAGACGAGAACATGAAAGCTATAACACAACACACAAATGATACTAACAGTAGTTTCTAAAAGGTTAACATGGTAATGCCAGTCTTTAGATTCTAATGCATCCAGTTTGTTTTTCAATAAGTTTAGCCAACTTTAGCTGCTTATTACTCCAAGCTTCAATTAACTTTGCTTCTTTAGCCTCTGCATCTCTCTGTAATGCACTGAGTTGATCTTTATATTCCCTCTCCATTCTTCCAATAAAAGCTATTTCCTCTTCACGTAAACACCTCATCTTTGCTTCTATTTCCTCCATTTTCTCCCTCCTTTTTCTAGCTTTCTCTGACTCTAGTTGTTGCTCCAGCCGGTTCAGTCTCCAAGTTGCCTCTTTTTTGTGCTGTACCCAGTTCTGTTTTCCTTCTTCCAGCTCTTTGCAGTACTGGATTAGGGTGCCCAGTTGCTGAACCGGATAAAACCGGCTTGTCAAACCATATTCCGGTTGCACCGGTTCATGTACACGCAACACCGGTTCAGACGGTGTAAGGGTGAGACTAACAGAAGGAGATGGAGCAGAAGATGATGCATTAGCTGCTGAGTTCATCCACGGCGGAATAGTGGTGGAATTCACCGGTTCGTTAATAGCAACAGGGCTTAAAGAAAGAACCGGTGGCGGTTCAAGATTTGGCATGATATTAATAGCTGGCAAAGGCAAAGGAGGCTGAAAAGCAAATATCTTTGGCTGCACGTACTTCTCTGCAAAAGTCTCCAATATATGATCGTACTTCCCGGAAACTCCTCCCTCCGGCGACCCACCACCGGAGACGGTAGAAACAGACGGTTGGTCAGCGTAATCTTTAAGTTTCTGTGATTTCTGAAGCTGCTTAAGCTGTTTCTCTTTGAAAACTTCCCACCACTTGCCTAATCTTTTAGCAGTACGACCAGGGACTTCAGCTGCAATTTTCTTCCACTTATTACCGTACTTTGCCTGAAGAGAAATGACAAGATTTTGTTCTTCAGGGGTTAAAGATCCTTTCTTTATCCCAGGTTTCAAGTAGTTTTTCCAACGTTCAAGGCATGATTTTGGGTCCCTGTCAAGAGTTCTACCCATGCGTTTAGAAATGAGGTTCCATTCTTTAGGTCCATATTGCTTCACGTAAGCTCCTAACAGTGCGTCTTCTTCTGGCCGCCACCTTTGACGCTCCTTCATTTCCAAGCCATAACCACTAATTTCTTTAACTTTTCATTCTGGTTGTATTTACAAAGGTAAAAGATAAAGAAATGCCTTATCTTGAAGAAAGAGTTTGGCGTTTGGCTAGCAAGTAGGTGCTGCTTTGGTTACCATTGCAGCTTTACAGTGCTACATTACAGTACTAGTCACTATAGTCTTATATTTAGGGTATGAAAATGAGAGTGAGATTAAAGTAGAACTGTTTTTGGGTAGGCAATAGAAGCCTAATTGGGGAGACTGGGAATCAGTAGGACAGAAACGACAGCGGGGTAAAACAGTGAGAGTAAAGGTGAAAGAGGAACTGGCATGGCAGACAAAGTCAGAATTGTGGTGGACAAGACAGGTCAGGAATCCCTGGTTTTTGTACAGTGTGTAAATCGGAAATAAGGATACTCCATTGTCTTTTAAGTTTGTGCAAATTTCGCTTAGTTCTCAGTGTCTTCTCCACTCGGACATAATAATAACTTTCTAGCTCATCTTAACATACACAAATATAAAATTATTTACATTAACTTCTATAAAAGGATATAATAGTAAATGGAACAGTCATGTAATGGTATGACCCACTTATGCCACTGAAATTTTAATACAGCAATCTAAAGAGATCGCCTCTTGAGAGGGCCAACAAGCAGTCGTTGTCGTATAGTGGTAAGTATTCCTGCCTGTCACCCGGGTGACCCGGGTTCGATCCCCGGCAAACGGCTTATATTTAGTTTTGAGTGTATTTCCTTTTCCAGCGGGATGTCTATTCTCTCGTGTCCTTCCTACTACGTTCCCTTTTCTTCCTTTTTTTTTTCTTTTCCAAATTTAAACTACTCCACATAGACATAAAGAGATATTCACCAAACCTGATTTAGTTAGTAACAACCATAACCATAAGCAGCCACAACGAGCTTCCCTCATCTACTTTCTGTACACCCCCAAAATGTCGAAGGTAATATTCTTGTTTAGGGGAGGAAAGATAGGAAGGGATGGGAGAAGAAACGAACACTAGCATTGATTTGTAAATATAGGTTCTCTAGAACACCAGCAAGCAGTCGTTGTAGTATAGTGGTGAGTATTCCCGCCTGTCACTCGGGTGACCCGTGTTCGATCCCCGGCAACGGCGCATTTTTCTTTTTTAAGCCGTATGTCTTTTCCAGCGATTCTCCTTTCTCCTGTCAGCCGTACTAGCTTCCATTTTTCCTTCTTTTTTTCCCACAATAAAAACAGTAGCATAAACGTAAAAAGATATCCACCAAACCTAACATAGTAACATCCATAAACATAAGCAGCCCCGACTAACATAGTAAAAATCATTGACTGTGTGATATGTGGACTTTCATCCTCCATCAATTTTATTCAAAGGAGATGTTTCCCATTTTGCTTTCCCCCCTTTTGGAAAGAGCCTCAAATTAAGTTCTAATTTAGGTGTATGGTGCTATAGGAGATGCTCCATTCCTTCTCCTATGCTCGCTTACGCTTAGGGATGGCAATACAAGTTGGTGGGAGAAGGGTCTCTATTTGAATTTGAGGCAGTTTAGCCACATTTTACGCTCTTTCTTCCCTCCAACCTGTAGCTATGACGTAAGGCTGATTTTTCTTCTCTTCCTTTACGGCTTTACTTGGAGAGTTTTAGCTTGTGGGGACCACATATGTTAATTAATACTATCTTTCTTTTATCTGAAATTATTCCTGTTTTTTTCATATTTTTCTTTATTTTCTCCTTTGCAGTATTGTAAATTCATTTTTTTTTTTAACTTTTTCAAAATTTTATTTGAACCTCAACTTAAACATACCGTAATAGTTAATATATTTAAAGCGAATCCACAAATCACAAATAAGAATGACAATAAAAAGTAGGAAGAGACGTGATATTGAATCATTAAATTAAAATATCAAATGCATTAATAGTGCAACTTCCACATATTCCAAAATAAAAGCCCTGCCCTGCCCTAACCCACTAATTAAAAAAAAAATTAGCCCTATCCTACCCCGTCTCATTTAAATCTTCCCCTGCCCTCCTGTACCATTTAGAATTTGTCCTGGCCCGCACTACCCGTCCCAATTGCCATCCCTACTTATGATGCTGAATAATATAAAGTTTACCTAGCAAGCAAGCTAAAATTTGTGCTAAGCAAGCTATATGACTAGCTTATACAGTTTGGTAAGTGTAACCGGCAAAAGTTAATGAGATTAGTCTGTTTGGCCAAACTGGAAAAATCTACTTATTTTGAGAAGTGTTTTTTTAAAAGTGCATTGCAAAATAATAGTTTTGGTGAGAAGTATTTTGTATTTGGCTAATCAATTTGAAAAGCACTTTTGAGTAGCAATTAGTGCTTGGCCAAACTATTAAAAGGTGCTTCTAAGTGTATTTTTCTCAAAAGTGCTTCTGGAGAGAAGCTACTATTTTGTGCTTCTCAAAAACTGCTTATGCTTTTACTCAAAAATATTTTTTTTCCTTCAAAAAGCTTCGCCAAACACCTTAACTTCGATAAAAGAGCGCTTTTGACACAAAAAAAAAAGAAGCACTTTTGGCCAAGAAAAAAGCTTGGCCAAACAGGCTATAACCATGCAAAATTTCTGTTTTTCTATCACTCTTATCTTAGTTATCATCCCTCTTTTGATTTTACCACTCAAGCTCTTTGCCGGCTGTTAAGTGCTTGCCAAAACCTGCTGTATTACAACATTGCTAGTTAACAGTCATTTTGCCACTCCAATGAAAAAGCAAAACAGATTTCAGCAAACAGGTGAAGATTGACATTGTCCCTTTGGACATTAGAAGGGTCAGTTTCAGATGGAGAAATTAAGCAGCACCCATATTTCCTGATATAACTCAAGGAACTGAAAGAGCTCCACTCCCTACTTCCTTAGATAAAAAAAAATGCTCACAACTAAAGTTAAATAATACAGGCATAATCATCCTAAAGAGATTATTTTTGCCGATGAAGAACGAAATCTGCCATAGCAAGTAATGGAGCTGCCTTTTCTGGATCAAAACCAACAAGCTGCTCCTTAGCTTCCTTGCTAAGGTTTTGAGCATATTCTTTGGACTTTTCAATGCCAATCATCTTTGGGTACGTCAACTTGTTCGCCAACAAATCCTTCCCTGCTGTCTTTCCTAATTGCTCAGAGGATTTAGTCACATCAAGAATGTCATCCACAACCTGAAACAGCAGCCCAATACACTGAGAGAACTTTCTGAGTCTATTGATTTCCTCATCGGTTGCACCACCAACCATTGCTCCTACAATGGCCGCGGCTTCTGCAAAGTCTGCTGTCTTGTGACGATGAATATACTCGAGCTCTTCTAATCCAGTATCAGATTTACCTCCAGACAGCAAGTCAAGTACCTGGCCAGCCGCTGCCCCCTCTGGCCCTATCAACCTTGCTAGTTCTCCGATAGCGCGAACCATTGTTTTCGGGTGCACCCCTTTAGTGGCTGTCGCCATATGCTCAAATGCTAAGGCAACAAGGGAATAACCAGCTAGAACAGTGACTTTTTCGCCAAATACTTTGTGATTTGAGAGCTTACCTCGACGGAGATTATCGTTGTCCATGCAGGGAAGGTCATCGTGCATCATACACATAGCATGTATCATCTCCATTGCGCAAGCAGCAGGCATCGCCGTTGATTCTTGGCCACCTACAAGCTCACAGGCAGCTATGCAGAGTACAGGGCAAACCCGCTTGCCTTCGGAAAGGAGCGAATATCTCATTGCTTCATGGAACTTGATCGGTTCCCTGGGTGGGACAGCAGCATCTAAGGCTCGATTGACAGATTTGATCTTTTGATGCATGTAACTTCTGAAATCAAAGACAGTTCTTGTCTTTCCAGCTTCTCTGAATGTGTTTTCACTTTTGATAACTTGAGCTTCATTCTTGGCAATATCCGTGCTATTACAAAAGGCTCTTACTTTTCGGAGGAATAGAGCTTCTGCTGTTTCCTGTGAAGAAAGAAGCAACTTTGTTCCTGCAGATCTGGATCTACTTGGAGCAGCTCTTTTACTATGATTTGCAAGATTGGGAATTGCTCCTTTTAGCATAGACATGGCTCTGAACTTGAGAGTGTCGGATAAATTTCTTCACTAATCTGGTGAATTACTATTTAACTTACTATAATATGATGGATTTACTGAGGAACAAGCATTCAAGCCAAAGCAGGAGGGTAGAAGATATCTCCAAATAAAGCCACCTACTTTGGCCTAATTTTATATTATTAATTGGATGAGTTTCTAATATACATACCAAAAATTTATGGGACCCTGATATAATGAGTTCTTTGCCTCATTCTTCATACCTTTAGAGGATGAGTGGAAGATTTTATCTACCTGATTGTCTCATTCTCAGACAGGAGAAATTTTTTGCCAAAGTGTGAGCCACAAAAGAAAACTATCAATATTCAACAGGAAGATCCATTTGGAAAGTAAGTCGAGCTTATTTGGCACATTCAATAATCTATAAAAGGTTCAAGTTTATATAAAGCATGTGAAATTGACAAGGTACCAAACAAAACTATACTATATTATACTAATGACAGAAAATACAGGAATATTTGGAATTTTGAATGAAGAATAAGACAATAGAGACATGGTAGGACCAATTACAGGTCATCTTTGGATTTAAAACATGGCCATAAAATCCTGACCATGACTCCAACAAGGGAGTGGCACCATAGCTCAGGTCATAGAAGGGAGATGCAAGAAATAATAATAGTAAGAGTTGATTTGTAAAACCTTATAAGCTAACAATCAAAGCAAGAAAGAGAGTTAACAACCAATGGACAAATACATCCACAGGTAATGATGTGAATAAGGATTTATTCCCTCCACATCCATTGTTAAAAACATGAAAATTCTTAAGGTGGGGGAAAATAGAAATGTGTATTGGACCATTATTTCATTCAAGATATTAGAAGTTTGAAACTTTACAGATCACTCATGTTTTCACCTTCTATTAACTTCTAAATCTTCAAATGTACAAATTGGTTGACCATAATTCCAATCCTGTTGTTACAATTTAATTCTCTCTATAAGCAATATAATTTGCTAAAGCAATCAAAGGAGCTGCTTTCTCTTGATCAAATCCAGCAAGCTGAGCTTGAGCATCTTTGTTTAACTCCTCAGCAAACTCCCTTGACTTTTCCATACCAATCAGTTTGGGATAAGTTACCTTATCAGCAACTAAGTCCTTTCCTGCTGTTTTTCCCAATTGTTGAGAAGACTTTGTAACATCAAGAATATCATCCACAACTTGAAATAACAACCCAATACATCTTGCAAACTTCCTTAACTTCTCCACTTCTTCATCATCTGCCCCTCCTAATATAGCCCCTAACACCACTGACCCTTCTAATAAAGCTGCAGTCTTGTGCAAATGAATGAACTCTAAATGCTTCAAATCAACATCAGAAACCCCCTCTGAAATTATATCTACAACTTGTCCAGCTACAAGTCCCTCAGCACCAATACACTTAGCTAACTCACCAACCACCCTCACAATCCTATGTGAAGGAACCCCTTTAGTTTGAGTAACAATGTGCTCAAAGGCTAATGCAAGAAGTGCATCCCCTGCTAAAACAGCAACATCCTCACCATAAATCTTGTGATTTGTAGGTTTCCCTCTTCTAAGATCATCATTATCCATACAAGGAAGATCATCATGTATCAAAGACATGGTGTGAATCATCTCAACAGCACAAGCTGCAGGCATAGCTATGGACTCATCTCCACCAACAAGTTCACAAGAGGCTATACACAACATGGGTCGGATTCTTTTCCCACCAGCAAGAAGAGAATATCTCATGGATTCATGAATCTTGACTGGTTCCTTAATCAAGACTGAAGATTCCAAAGCCTTGTTCACAGAATTAGCTTTTTCAAGAACGTATTCATTGAACTCCATTGCTTGTTTTTTCTTGTTCTTGCTTTCATCAGTTTGTTGTTTTGTTGTAAGAAGAGCTGAGACAGAAAGAGGAGAAGGGTTGTTGGTGGAGAATTTGATCTTCAGATGAGTAGGTAAGAGTCCATGAGAGCAAAATCTGGATCTGCCGTTATTTCCAAGGGCAAAATAGGTGTAGCCCCATGTTGTAATTGCTGTAGAAAGACTCATTCTTTAAGCTCTTATTGTTTGGCTTTGTGAAAATGAAGAAGAAGGTTTCAGACCAGCAAATTAAAAGACTCCACCACTACTGGGTAGTACTGACACACTGCACATATAAAAGTTTGTTTAAGTTGTAATTTAAGTTGGGTGTCCCAATTTGAGATCTAGGATTTATTTAAGTTTGGCAAGAAATCATAGTGGGAATTGAGAAGGGCGACAGCAATTTAGATACAGCTGTTTTTAAATGAGAAAAAGTGGAGAAGGAATGGTTAGAGTGGGCCAATTGGCTATTTCCTACAATTGGCTACAAAAGTCCCACAAAAGTGTAAGCATTATTGTTTCGTCCATTTTCTCCACACATGTTTCTTTCTTATTCCGTTTTTCTTTTTCTCATTCATTTTTTCATTATCATGTGTATATTATATAGTCCTGAGATAATGGAGCTCTTATAATAGACATTTGTTAGGTTGAATTTGGTTCTTACCAGCAAATGAAGCTATGATATTATTACTTTTTGGAATTTTTACCTAGCTATATTATAATAAAAACTTATTTACCACCTTTATTTAGGTTCCTTATTAATTACTTTGTATTTTTATATTTACAAGCTATATACAAAACTATAAAAAAGAAAACAAATCAAGAAACCTTAATTTTAACGTGTCAGTTACACGACACTCAACCCCCCCCCCCCCCAACCCCAAATTTAAGATTCTATTTTTTTTTCTCTTTCTTAATAGTCGCCTAAAATCACTCTTTTATTTTTATACCCCCCCCCCCCCTCCACCCCCCCAAAAAAAAAATCAATTCTTTTCCTTTTTCAAAGATTTTCAAACCGAATTTCTCTTTTTCTTACTAATCACCAAAAATCTCTATTTTTTATTGATACAATGCGGACAAAATTCGAAATATTGCTCTAGAATAAAGATGCGGGTAAGTTTTTAATCTTGTTTTCTTTCTTTCTAAAATCTTTATTGTATGTGACTTGTATATGATACATCAATACCCAAAACAATACACGATACAATTATATTAGATTTTTAGTGTAGAGTTGTGATTGAAACTTGAAGAAGATGAAGATCATAATTGTATCACAAATTTTCAGAAATGTATCGTGATTGTTTTATAATTGTATGTGTATCATAATTCTTGCAGGAATTGTATTACAAATGTATGATAATTATATATTCATTGTATATTGTTATGAGCAGTTGTGAGTTCGTAACGAATTTCACAGTTTGTATCACACATATATGATAATTGTATATTAATTTATTAGTATTGTATCAGGTGTTATTTTGGGTGTTAATGTACCAGATACAAGTTAGATACAATTGTGATACAAGTATGATACAATTATGTTTTAGGATTGATGTATCTAATATAATTCAAATACAATTATGATACAGTTATCATATAATTCCTGCATATTTCATCATTTTCAACGTTGCCCAGTCTTCCAACAAAAGAACAATATAATTGATGATTTTTTAATAATATAAAGTTATCAGCGATGGTGGGAAGAGAAGATGAAGATTCTTGGCATAGATTAAGAGATTTTGATGTAAAAAAAAAGGAGAGAGAGAGAGAGGAAAGGGGAAAAATAAAAGGATGTAATTGAATCCCTTGGTTGAAGGTACTAATAATGGGGTGAGCGCCTTTTAAAGAGTAATGTATACAATTTGTAAGAAAAACCTAGATACTTATTAAAACTACAAAATATAAAGAACATAGGTAAATAAGCTTCTAGTATAGTATAGCTAGGTAAATATCCCTTAAGTTTTTGGAAGTTGGCGAAATTGTTTTGTCACCGGAAGGCAAAAGCTATTTTTGTTAATTAATTTCTTCGGAGCTGGCAGGCGACAGCCAAACGCGAACAAGTTATTAGGATCAAAATAATCAGGTGTCATGCGAAAGCTAGTAAAGCAAACCTTGAACGATGATAAATCAAACAACAAACATGACTACAAGTGGCACGCTAATACTTGTCCCGATTAGATGCTACGGGCCTCCAAATCCGATCTCCACCATTCAAATCAAAGACCAAGATGTTAGGAACACTCAGTCAAATTTCTCAGACAAAAATCATGATTACCGTCAAATAGGTTGCGACTAGAACTAAACCCGCCTAGATGAACCTGTCTTGAACTTGTTTTGTTGCAGATTGTATCCGACCATCCAACTTCAAATCACATTTTCTGATTCGTTAACCATTGGATCGGGCTGAAATTTTGACTGACTGTTTCTTAGATCTTGGTCTTTGATTTAAACGTAGAGATCATATTTGGAGACCCGTAGCATACGATTTAGAGCCCTAACAACAGCTCCATTATTGTGAATTCTCCTCTTTTTTCAATTGATTTGTTGTAGCTCTTGTTGCTATTATTGCTCCGTGTTTGGCACTTGTTGTGTAGCCAATTTAGAGAACTTTTGTAATCCTCTTATTGTTATAGTGGAGCTTTTTGGATCTTTGTGATCCCATGATTTTTACCTTCGATTTGAAGGGTTTTTCACGTTAAAATTTGGTGTTCTTTATTTTCGAGTTTGCTCTTCCTCGTCATAACACAAGCTTTGTAGTTTTATATGTATTTTTTTTTTCGATATAGAAATATTAAATTGCAGTTCCAACAACAGGATCATTTCAAAACACAACTCTGTTTTTGGATGTACTCATAAGCAAAAATGCCGAAAATGTTGACAATCCCATTGTATTCAGAGTGAAAGAACGATTTGGGTGTCCAATGGTAATCAGAAGCGAATTCATGATTCGAATATTATAAGTTCAAATTAGGAATTCTATTGCAACTTATTTAATTCAAATCAATTACTTCCTCCATTTCAAAAAGATTATTTTAATTTGACTTGCCACAAATTTTAATAAAGAAGGGGAGACTTTTGAGATATGTGGTCTCAAATAAGCCATAGCATTGGTGTGACCGTAAAACTTTTGAAACTTGTGGTTTGAAACATGTTATAGCATTTGTGTGGTTATAAATGCTTCTTATTAAGAAAATATTGAATGGTGTCAATCTTTTTGGAACAGACTAATAAGAAAATAGAATCAATCTTTTTGAAACAGATAGAGTATTTATTGGAATTATAATGAATTCGAGCCAAAATTAATAGTTTGGGTGAACACATAACTAACATTCTACATCTGCTATTTTCGACACTGCCGCAATAGTTAGAAGTCCCAGTTGTTCTTGGAATAAAGAAATGACTTAGACCGATGTCCAATGGAATAAGTTTTCAGGTTTATAATTTCTAACTACAAGATAATATCTTGAACAAGTGTTGTAAGCATGAAAGCTGGAATTATTTTGGCTAGAAACATGTTTACCCTCAAAATTGGATAACAATTGAATTTGTAAGTGGTTTTAAGGATACGTGGATTAAATTGACACAAAGCGATAAATTAAATTGCAATGAAAATAAAATATGATGAAGTAAATGCGAACCACACGAATTGAACAGTTATAGCCTTGGGGGGTGATCCACCCTTGAACAGAATGTACTTCGATCATTGTCAAGACACAATTGAATAAGAACTTAAAGAGAAAATAACAATATATTGCTTCTGAATGATGGTTACAATGTCCTTACATGTAATCAGACCCCCCTCCCCTTTTATATAGTAAGAGAGTCCTATATTAGATACAACTCTATAAGAAGTAAAAATCTCTTGATTCGCTGATTCACCGGTTCCTTATTGATACGTGCCGAGATTCTAGTCGTAATATCCGACCGGTCGCGGATATTTCGGCCCTCTGTTATTTCGGTCTTCTGTTGGTTACGCTGATAATGCTTCCTCGAGCTCGTTTGGGGTCAGGATCGATTCCGGGATCATGGATTCAATATTCTCGAGGACATACATTCCGATCTCGGGTTCTGGCCTGGTGGGACTTGGGGTCGATTTTCAGCCCCTCCCGTTCCGAGCCCGATCTTTCATGTAGTAGACGAGCACGATTTTTACCGTGTACAGATAGTCCCCTCGTTTTTCGGAGAGTAAACGACGAGAAACGATATGAGCTTCCGATTCTCACCTTGATACTCCGCGTCAGAAACGACAAAATGAACGAAATGTCTCGTCAATCACGTCTTAGTGGCATTAAATGCTTGTCAGTTGTTGGTCGGCCACTCCGATATTTGAACCATCGTTTGAAAACTATAAATACCCCATTCTTCATTCATTCAAACTTTACATCCAAACCTTCTCTACTCTTGTTCCTTAGAAGTTTCTCTATTTTTTGGCACTTATACTCTGATTTCTTGAGATCCTTTGTGAAGAATTTGCTTATTTCCACCCCAAATCATCAAGCGCACTGCTCTAACTTCCTCTTTTTTTTTTTTCTCCATTTTAAAAAGAAATGGCGAAGACTTCAAAAATCGTTCCCCAAAAAGAAACTGCTTCTACATCACGACCGGACGGTGAGGAACCAGCGGCGAAACCTCCTCTGAGCACGTTCATCCCTGGCGGGTGCTCGGTAACTGCCGATTTTAAGGTTGAAAAACCTTCACCCGTACCATGACGGTGTGAGAAGGTCTCGAGGTACATCTGCTTGATCACTAAAGAAATTCTCCCCACGGTCAAAAAGGATTGCAACTGGGTCGGTAAAGACGTAGTAGTTCCCGGGCCCGACGAAGATATCATTACCCACATCGAGGGATACTTAAGTGTTTACACTTATCCCTTTACGTTGGGCCCGTTGGACCCGGTCATCATCCACTTATACAAAAGGTACGAGGTGTGCCTTAGCCAGATTCACCCTTTATTCTGGAGGATCGGCATCCTTCTCCAGTTCTTTGTTAGCAAGATCGATGGATGCTCGTTCACTGTTGACCACCTTATGCGCCTATATAGTCCCCGACTCTTTCGGGGGGTATTGATCAAACTCGCGTGCCGGGCTAGCAAAGCCCCATTCTTGAGTATCGATAAATATCAGGATCGAGGCTGGCTAGGCCTTTTTGTCCGAGTGAGGACAGCAGAGTGCATGCCGTTACCCGAGAAGTGGAACACAAAACGTAACTAAAATTTCGTTTTTCCAAAATTTTATTTTACTCTTCTTTCCTTCTTTCTTATCACTGATTGGTGGTGGTGCAGCTGTTGCTCGGGTCCCAAATGTAGTCCCTCGATTCAAGGAGTGGGCCGAGGGCATAGTGTCACAAAAGCCATATTCCGAGCGCGCATGGTGCGAACTCTGGAAGGGCCGGTGGGAGGCTCGTTCTCATGGCGAGATTTCCTTTCCTGAGTGAGTAATATTTGGGTCTTTTTTT